AAAAAAAGATCGAAAAGCTGAGAGAATGGGGTTTTGGCTTCCGTCARTTAAAAAATCTCCAAATCGAGAAGAGGAGAATGATATGAAAGAATGTGCCGCGTCTGTAGTTGCCTGCGTCGTAGAAACATCGAAAGCCCTCCGAGACTTCAATACAACTATTTCAGAAAAACGTTGGTGAATGTTTTGTGTCATGTTGCATACCAAGCTTGAAACGTATTGTGGATCATATGCAAATGACGTCAGAGAAGAAAACCTGCCGGAAAACGTGTTGACAAAGTTTGGAAAAATTCCATATCATTGTGACCATTCACTGATTGCATTCAAATCCCCCATAGTGCAATGTGSGCTTGGTATACGACATGCAACAAAACTTTCAACAACCCTTTTTGAAAGTTTGAGGGAATCTAGCAATACATTATGTAAATGTGAATCATCTTTTTGATATATTTAAGGAATGGTAAATATTGTAGAAAACAAGGTTTGTACATGATTTTTTTCTCTAAAAAATCTCACATTAGAATAAAAAAGCAACAAAAAACCTACATGGAAAAACATCTCGCTGTAGACCTAGTAATATTTTATGTTAAGTATTTAATTTTTACATTATGTTGTTGAATACCTCTTAAGCCTGGTTCCGGAGAAAACGCAAACGCAAGCACAAACGCAAGACGTGGTTCACACGAGCAACGCAAACGCAAACGCAAGGAAAATACGTGTGAACTATAAACAACCACTACTGCACATGTGTATCTTGATTTACTTGCATTTGCGTTGCACGTGTGAACATTGCTTGCGTTTGCGCTTGCGTTTGCGTTGCTCGTGTGAACCAGGCTTTAGTTCCAGGTTGTCTTTGAAATAAGAAAAAACGGTTTCTTGTGAMAGAGGAGACCTGGAAAGGAGGAAGTTCTTACCGTTCAATATACCCTGCTGGCAGTCTCCTTTCTTTCTCTCGCTCGGGAGAAATTAAAAAGAGACTCTGCCTGCAGGGTACACTTAATAATACAATCAACTAAACAAAATTGATGGTTTTCACGGCTGCCATGTTGGAGGAACTTTGTCAATTGTCAATGAATTCTTTTGTTATATCCTCCAACATGGTCACCATGTTTTTTGTTATTTAATTCTCTTGGGAATGGTTGAAAACCATCAATGCATTTGTTGTTAGTTTTGTATGTCGTTGTGGGTAATCTACATCATATACACTGCTATTTTTTTTAATGCAGCAACATTAAAATTTAGGTTTTTCTTAGGTTTAATGAACACAGGTTTATACATTTTCCTGTTTCAGACCATGTTTTTACCCCCTAGAGTGTAAGAAGACAAATGAATATATTTTCTTACTTACTGCCTATTATGCCTATATGGCAGGTAGGGCAGCAACAAAGGATGACCAATTCTGTCTGTCCTGGGCCAATTTCGGCGCTGTGCCCACACATGAATATGGATACAAATTGTTCCCAACTTAGAATGACACAAGGTAAAGACAGGCTACATTATAGGCTAATTCGTCTKGGTGCAATGTTTTCCCATTTCAAACTGTGTGTCATTCCCTAGAGAATCATTTCTTTGTTTAGCGTTTGTGCATGAGAAGAGACATGGATATGGATACAAATCCAACAAAGAATTTTATTCTCTAGGGAATGACACGTGATTTGAAATGGGTAATCATTGCACCAAGAAGAATTAGGTCTATTCAGATGTGATTTTTTCTGGTTCTTCCACTTTGATTTGCAAATATAGTTGCATATCCAATTCCATGGATAACTTAAAATAATCAGAGTTGAAATTATAGAGTAGTCTAAGGAATAATTTGATAAAAACTTGTCTTTCCATGAAACTTACACTTAATTATCCTTGGGTAYCCWGAGGTAAWWTTCTGTCATTTKWTTCTAACTCCKRGAAAAARTACTTTCCTGGGGAGGGAGAAGCCAGTGACAGAATTTTACACCACTMACTTTTAATCAGTGCATAAAGGTGTGGAAGTATTACTTGCATAATAAAAATCCACAGACTATAAAAACTACTGTGAAAAATACTAGTTGTAGTTTTTCAGTGACATACAGTCATTTCGCCCATGGAAAAATTTCCACATCATTTCCAGTTCTGGATCAAATGGTCCATGTGAAATGGTCATGTGAAATGGCCAAAATCACTGTATTCTTATCAGTGTGTTCCTTTTTGTCTCAATTCCTCAGATGTCTCAGCCACTACTTCCCTGAGGTGATAGACAATTGGATGATTGTGCCCATGAGTGACTTCAAGTGTTGCCAGTGCCCTTTGCAAGAAATGAACTCCAACATCAAGCTTGTCTAGCAAAACTTGCAGCTTACCTGAAGAAATGAAATACTTAGGGACCGTTTTTTTTATAAATGGGAGTGGGTTTGAGGGGTGTGGTGGGATTTGCTCAGTAACCCAGACCAGAAATCTGACCCAACTCTCCCTTGTCACATATAAATTGGCCCCTCCCTCATTTCCCAATCTGCTTATTGTAAAACTGCTGCGAGACTCACATTTTTTATGTCACTGTTACGCTCTTGAGCCTGATGTTTTTTCGCGAATCCCATCAAATCCCACCACCCCCTCCCCTCTCCTACCCTCCCAAGTAAAAAATAAATGCTCTGTTAGTGAGTCTAAGATCTCACCTTTCCACTCCCTAAAAACCCTATTACTATATCATGACATTTGACTAATGACTTACCAATTCTGAAAAACTGAACTCCTACACCTGGGTGGTACTTAGGAAAAAGTTTTTGATATGGCTCCAGAGTCCTCAATCCATATTCCAGTGCTTCTTTCCACAATGTCAAAGAAAGACAAGCATCTAATGCTTTGTCTGACAAAGCAATCATAATATAATGATAAGGATGTAGATATGGTTCCTGTTTCTTTAAAGTCTTTTTACAGATATCTAGAATTTTCTGAGGGTCACCATCATTTTGGATTGACTTGATCTCATTCAAAGCATCTTTGGCTTTTTTTACCCATGTTTTTGAGAAGCTTGATATGTCTCTTTCTTTGCCACAACTGTTACATTTTCCTGGAAAAGATTTTTTTGTTAAATATTTCAACTTCTACGAAATAAGTTATAATGACCAAGTTYAACTTGGGAAGCCTGGTAAAATCATATATGTCTATGGATTTGATCCTGAGGCTGGGACCATATATGTCTGTATATATAGAGAGTTCCATGATGGTTTTCCCATATTCTTTTAGGGTTTCTCTCTGGGTTCTCCAGTTYCCCTGACTCTGCAAAAAGCAACTTCTAAATTACAATTCGATCATGGAACATGGCAGCCACAGGTTTGTTAGCCACTGGCTATATTTAAACCCTACATTTTCAAGATAAAAATTAAGGAATTTAAAAAAAATTGACTCTTATTTGCTGCTTAGCAACTGAAGTAACCAATAGCTGTTATTACAGTTGAGCCTGTAATAAGATATTCATTTGTTTTAAGAATCATACAAGTAAGGCTATTGGGTTGGTACAATGCTTGTTGTCTCATTTGCACCTCATTTACATGTATCCATAATATCTGCTATTAAGAGACACTTGTCCCTCCCTCCTCTCCCRTTCTGTGATAGATGAAACTGACCTTTGGCTTCTGGAACTGGCCCTGCACAGTTAGGGTTCACACATCTAAATGAACACATTAAAAGGTCTTTGCTGTCTTCAATATCCAAGCATCTTGGACAGCGACAATCAAAGCAGTACTGACTCTTCAGCTCTTGTTGCCTCACATCTCTGGGTTCGAGAAGTTCAGTGTAACTGATCGTTAGTTCATCTCCAGTTTTGACTTGTTCGATGGCATGAATCACAAGCTGTGTGCCATTAAATACTGCAACACAGTTTGGGGTACACGAGTGATTGAACACAGAACCAGTGKWGTATATGCCAACACCTTGRAAAGAAAAAAGATTCTTARCTTTAATCATTATTGTAAAGACAGACAGACAGACAATATCCTTAAAGGCTCCTATAACCTTCCCTTTATTTACTCACCTATTGACTGCATTTCCCCCTCACAAATACTAAAACTATTTGAAGACACTTTCCCAAACATTTCAAAAATTTCTYGAGATGTATACGACTCAATGAACTCTTGGCTAGCATAATCACCAAGTACAGCAAAGATTGCCACAAACTCCTCTTTTCTATCATCTTCTATCCCCTCGATATTTGACACAAGTTTTTCATACCACTCCATGTCCTGTTTTGCGGTTCTCATGTTAAGAATCCTATACATAAGCCTAACTAAATCAGTAGGAACGCGAGGGTATACTTTTTTGAGCCTCTTGCACTCGAATCTGTGGAGTTTCCATGCTCGTTTTTGACAGCTCTGTCCACAATACCTCGCAAAACGACAAAACGAGCATCTAAGGAGATGGTCTTTTAGCTCAAAACAGTTATCACAGCGCTGTCCTCTGACTTCATTGCTCAGAACGAAAACTATGGGRTTTTCATCAAGTATTTTATCACCAGGATTACAATTCTTGAACGATTTTAATCCTCTTCCTTTATCTTTCGTTACAAAAACTTGGTAAGACATGTTTTTTGGAAGTTGAAGTCAAAAAATAAGCAGGCGTTCGCGCGTACGAGGAAGCCGAGCAATGGAATAATGGACTAGGTCGAGTTACTCTCCAAATTATTCAAAAAAATTAAAACACTAAGAATAAAACAAAAGGGCATACAATAAAATGACGGAAGAAATTGTAAGCAAAACCTGAGCTTAAAATTTTCAAATTTATATGTTTTTGAAAGCGTTTCACTCCAAGCATGCGCAAAGCAGTTTTCCCGCAATTTCTATGGTCAGCGGACTTCAGCGTAAATTTGGCGGGAAACAAGGGGCTAGTGAAATAAACAAGTTGGAAGAAGTGAAATGAACTAAGGTGGTTTTACAATGTTTAATTCTGGAAAAATCGACTCAAAATCTCCGATCAATGCTGAAGTTCTTCTTTCTGAGCCAAGCTCGGGCTGTGATGGGATCGAAGAGAGTGAAYGCCTTGAAAGAGCGAGTTGTTCGTACTCGAACCAAAGTGAAAGATTTCGACTAAAAGAGAGAGCATATCGTAGGCAGTATGCACAGTTATACGCTGTGCGTCTGATGACCATGAGAAAGAAATTAGCAGCTGCTGCAAGGAGGACATGGGGTGAGTTCAAACACACTAATTTTGTTTCAAAATTATGRAGTTTTTGGGTGTTAATGTGTCAAAGTTTTTTTCCTAATTTTCAGGGAGCTCAATGCCCATWAAGAAGTTATCTGAGCTGAAGCTGGAAGAAGAGTGTATCATWGTTGGCACATTCTTCAAGAAGATGGAAATTAAACCCTCTATTTTGAAGGAAATAAGTGCAGAGGTTTGTGTATGGTAGTCCTTGAGAAAGAGGAGGCCCCTTTATTGCCTGTCTTGACAAATGAATGTTTTCTGTTGCAATACTGTATCAAGCTTGACTGTCATCCCATCTTATTCATAAAGTTTGTATCATCAGGGCGTCGGAACCGGGGGGGCTTTTTGTGAAATTTTAATACAATTTCACTAAACTCAGCTCATCCACCTTGCCATACAATGTCACTATTGAGCCCCCCCAATCAAAAAACTGCTCCGCCATCCCTGATCATTGGTATAAGTAATAAGAGACAGCTACTGGTATCATATTATTTTTGTTTGTTCATAGATCTTTTGTAGCTTGAGCTCTGTTTGCATGTATTGGGAAATTCCCAAGTATCCCTAATATCCCAAATATTACCGAGCAATGAGGACATGATAAAGTGGCCAACTGGGGTGGTCATTAAAGAATTGAGAATGGGAAAATCGGGAATTTTTTCACAGATTTTCAGATGTTCATCGACATTGACCTTATCATGTTTTACTTCCAAATTTTTGGAAATTGTGAGGAATAGGAATATCTGGAATGGTATAAAGTAATAGCTGGAATGGTTAGGAAATATTGAATTCCCCTTACACCAATTGAGGTTTCCCAGCACATGAAAAACAAGCTATATGACTCTTTTTTTTTTCAGGAAAACTTGCTTATTCAACCTGTTAGAGATAAATATACAGATGATGAAGATGAACTAGTAATGGAAGACGAGACGCAGAGGGTAGCATTGACAGGGAATATAGAAGTGGGAACATCAATCAGTGGTAAGGATAGTTTTGAAGCACAAGAATCTTCAATCCCAGTTATTCTCAAACAGAAATTTCAATCTTACATAAGCTGCTTTTTTTTTTCTTTTTTTTTTTTGAAGAGATTTATCTGTTACAGCAAAATAATATGGTTTCTTCTAGTTCAGCTTCAGCACAAACATCTTGTTTGTTATTAAAAACACGTCATATGGTGTCGTTCGTGCTGAAGTTCTTGGAATCATTATTATGAAACTCAATGAATATTGAAACTTGATTGATAAAATTATGCAATGCAAAAATTAATTATGTTGTCACAATTTTTCAGGGACGATTGTTGCATTGAAGGGCCATACAACAGAGAATGGTAAATTTGATGTGGAGAGTGTTTGCTATAGCGGTCTTCCATACCAAACTGCTCCTGATCTTGATGAGCCAATGGCTAATGGTGAAGACAGGTAAAGATATAGTAACACCTATAACTAATGAGGTCAGTATATAGACTGCAGAGGGTGGGGGAAAGATCATGATGAGGTAAATAGTGAAGACAGATAAAGATATATTCATACCTACAATATAGGATAATGTGCTCAGTATGGACTGCAGACAATGTGGTTTTTCCTAGAGGGGTGGGGGGATTTTGATTAGCCTATGGCTAATGGTAAAGACTGRTACCAATATATWAAATTTCATAACAATAWTGTGGTATAACAAAACAGAAATCTCAGTTTTTCATCCAKTRCATTTGACAATAATTTGTCAGTAGSGACTGCAAATAGTTATTCATAAAAAGTATCCTAGTAGTTATTCTTTGACTTGATTATACTATTTTTTTTTCTGTTTATTTCAGATATTTTGTTCTAATATCAGGCCTCGGGTTTGGTAGCGAACACCAAGACATGCTGAGTCTTCAGATGCTCTCAGACTTGATTACTGGAGAGCTCGGTAGCATCCAGGTAAACTACATTTTAAAAAATCATGTTTCCTTTTTTTGGGCTATGCTTAGGCTCATGACCAATGCATGTCACTCTACTCCGACTCAGATCCTGATTGCATCGCAAGTGAAAGCCAGCATTAAGGACCTCGAATTACCACCAGTTTCATTACTATGCAGCCATCTCACATTTAGTACTTTGCACTTGGTTTCAGGACATCGAAGAAGTCATGTTGATATGTTTGATATTTATGATTGACAGAAGACTATTGGCAGCTTAGAAGTCTAGACTTGCATGTGTCTGGCAAGGACGCAGACAAATTTGTAATGGTTACTGAGGTTATTAATTGTCTACTGTTTCTGTTTGTAGGACCAAGAATCCAGTTCTAAGATTGCACGAGTGATCCTTGCTGGTAATTCTTTGAGTGAATCCACACAAGACAAAGAAAGTGAAACAAAGGTAAATTCAAAGAGATGTAGCTGCAAACCCTACCCTAGTGGGTGTGGGTAAGGGGTAGTAGTGGAGGGGGAGAGGGAGGCTGTGGGCAAGCAATGATAAAGTTTTCTGCAGAGGCTTTAAAATCTGGTATTGATTTTCCAATCTAGGCAAAGTACTTGACACGAAATGTTGTTGCTGGTACTGTAGAGGCTGTAAAAGAACTTGACGACTTYCTGTGTCAGCTTGTGGTAAGTTTTGTATGATATAAGAATTACAAATCAACTAGAAGCTAGAATAGACCTCGTGCTAGTCTGACATTACAAGACACATATTTGATTAGATTGATCAGAAAATAGAGTTTACTGTCAAATTCAACACATTGATAATGGTAAATTTTTCAAAGTTTTGTAAAGATTGCCCTTAAAATKATGAAGATATGAATTTTTGAAACTAAACATTTTAGAATAATTTTTAAATGATTTTAATTATTTAAAAATACTATCTGTAATTTTGTTTTATGTTTTAAAGGAGTGCGTTCCTGTGGACCTCATGCCTGGAGAGTTTGACCCCACYAATCATAACTTACCTCAGCAAGCCCTTCATCCTTGTATGTTCCCAAAAGCAGTTGCCTACCCAACYATGCAAGGCGTCACAAACCCTTATGAGGCCATTATTGGTGGAGTAAGGTATATTTTTTATTGCTATTCAGTTCTCAAAGAAAATATCTTTATCTCTATAAGCTTCAATTGCTAGAACAAAGCACTCTGGGAAACCAAGTACTTACACTTTTTTAGCTCCTCTAAAAATAATCCATTTGACAATTTTTCCCCAACATTTTCTATGGAAATGTGGGTTGAATAATTTTAACAGACAAAAATTACCAGTATCTCTTTCTTATAGTTTCTTTGATTTCCCTGTTTCATTTTTGTAATTTACTCAGTTTCCCAGAGCGCATTGTGAGCTTTGACGGGATTATATGTAGATATTGAATTATAATTCTTAAATAAGTAAATGATGGTTGCTTATTCATATTTTCTTTCCTTAGAGTACTTGGCACATCAGGACAAAATGTCAATGATATTTATCGTATGACCAGCCTTGATGACAAGATGGAGATCTTAGAGAAAAGCATCATAAGTGGTCATATTGCTCCTACGGCACCTGACACGTTAGGTAATGAAAATGGGGAGGGGGGGGGGATAAAATATTTGACAGTTTGAAATTTTAAATAGAATTTTGAAAATTGCTTCAGTCTTGCATCCCCCCAAACAAGTCAAGCTATTATGTATCAAAGACTGTATTAGCACTATGCTAATAGGTAAATTATTTGATCCTGCAAAAAATACAGAAATTTATTTGGTTAACTTAACTGAGATTTTATTTTTATTTTTATTTTTGAAGGTTGCTATCCTTATTATGATCAAGATCCATTCATACTGGATAAATGCCCTCATATTTACTTTGTTGGAAACCAGCCAAAGTTTCAAAGCAAAGTCTTGATGGGTAAGAAATCTGGCTTTTATGAAGGTCATGATCAGACTCTGCATTTTTGTGCATGCCTTGTGCCCTTGATAAACTTGTATTGTTAGACCTCCTTCCTTCCCCTAATTAATATTCAGGTCATTTAATCTGATG